TTTAATCTTAATTATTTATTATTAATGATATTTTAAATTATATAGAATCTAAACAAATTGAATTAACTATACCAGATGATTTTTAAATTAAAGCAAACCCTCCTTATAATTTAACCAGATTGAAACAACCTATTGTCATGCCTCTTATCATCATTTAGTATTATTTATTTATTATTTTACTAGTATTTTTATATTCAACATTTATATATACTGTTTTAACATTTTATATCTATAGACACTATAAATAATAATAATAAAAATAATAAAAATTGAGATAAAAATCTGTGTCTCACAGTAAATCTCAATAATGTTTATAATAATATGCCAACAATGTTAATACAATTTATTTATACTAAATCATAAAAACAATTTCTGCAAATGTATATTTATGCTTTTGTCACTGATTAAATTTGGGAGTGTGTTTTAATTGGTAATAACAATTATTTTTGTTTATGTGTGGATCAGAATGAATAGGTTATTAACAAATTAATTTTGGTATTAGCAAATAATTTTGGTTAAGGAAGATGATAATTTATTTAAATAAATATTACTATTTTATTTATTTAGTTTTATTTAGTCAAAACTAATTAACTTGTTAGAAAGTTACTTTTACATTAGATAAAAGAAGTTTGGACTGTAAAACAGTAGGCGAAGGACTGCCCTAGCTGTGTGTCAAAACATTGGGACTAGCCAGACAAAGAGTCAAAAGCTAGTGGATTCAATTGTAAAACAGTAGGCGAAGGACTGACCTAGCTGTGTGTTGAACATAAAATAACCTATTAAATAGGGAACTCGGATTGCATGCTTGCAATATAAAGGCAATATTTGACTTTGAGGGTTAGATTATTTTCAATTTTATTAACAACCTGCCTTAAAAATTTTTATAGAAGACACATATGATAGAGAAGTCATATCTCAAATTTGGTGGTGTTGCTACACAGCAAGGAAGTTTCCAGGGCCTGTAATAGTAATAATTAAAACCTTTAACTAAGCCTGATTTGGCTAAAATAATTGAGGTCAAATAACTTTCTATGCCACAACACCAGTTTGTTTTACAAAAAATGTTATAATAAGTGGATCAACCAACATGGAAATTCTGTATCTAATATTGACAATGATAACAATAATGATATTGATAGTGATGATATTGATAATGAAATGGTCAATTCTTATTGAAGATGATAGATAATAATGAAAAAAGTAATTTTCATCAAAAGACAGAGATAGAGAGGGGCAGAGGTACATATAAAAGGAAAGCAAGTTAAATTAGTATTATTCATTTTAGAAACCCAATATTAAATGAAAAGAACAATTTTGTCATATTTGTTTTTTACATATTAAATGATGTCATATTTACTTCATTTTGGTTTTTTTCCATTTTAAATGACATCATTTTAGTTTTTTTCTAATATTTATAATAAATTTTACTTTCAATGAAAAATAAACATTTGTTAGATATTATTTAATAACATGTTTGTAAACACTTTTGTCATGTCAAAAAGATGAAAAAACTGACAAGACAAAAAAGAGAGAATTCAAAAGACAAAATAATATGTTTATGGTTTACAAGATTAATATTATTTATGTTAATGAATCAGTTGACTTACACAATAATATTTTACAGAAGAAGAGTCATCACCATCATCATTGTCAACAACATTATCTTCATTAGAAGATGATTATGTTTACTAATAGTGGTAGACTTTAAGTCACAAATATATTCAATAAAACAAGAACTGAAATAAATACAAAGAAGAATTAAAAAACATAAAAAAAAATTAAAAGATAACAATAATGACAATGATAATGAAATTTAATTGCCTTATTTCAATTTGATAAATAATTGTTTAATTAATCTCCATTTTGATATTTGACATTAGCATGAGGATTTCTTACACCTGCTGCTGTTGACTTACATTTATAATTATGTTGCTTATTTTAATATTTTTAAAAATAATTATTAGAGAGTTAAAAAAAAGCTTGTTGTAAATAAAACATAATAATAGTTAGTTATCCCTGTGTGATAGTAATGTTAATGATAGATGGTGCAATGCAAATTTTTGGGGATTTTTAATTGCAATTTAATAATTTTGACTTCAAGTATAGTACAATCCAGAAAGTTTTCAGGTTTTGGGTTAGCACGGCCCGTTTCGGAGCTTTATCCATAACATTTTTTTAAAAAAGATATCTCAACGTTGTAATAGAAAAAAATTCACTGCTTAGGTGATGTTTTATGTGAATAGTATTTTTATAAAATAAATAAATTGAAAATTGACTTGTGTTTGAAATTCATGAATTTTATATTCATGATTTCGAAAATAGTATAGGAATCCCGAAATAATTTGGAGTTTGAAACAATATAGGGGTTTCGAAATGGTATAGAAATTTTGAAGTTTCGAAATTGTTTCGGAATTTCGAAAACAATAGGAAACGGTATAGAAATTCGGAGTTTCGAAAAATGGTAGAGTTTCAACTAAAAACTTAAATTTTTTACAAATTACAAATATTGTTTTGACATTTTCTCAAAAAAAATCTTTTTTATTCATGACCGGTTTTTTGCTGTAAAACCTTCCATTTGTTTTGTGTGATATTTCATATATGATTGTCACAAAAATTTAACCAATGAGCGCCTCAAATAGTTTCCAATTTCGGTCATGTTCCCCTTTGGTTCGAAGCCATTTTTATTATCAAGTAAAAGATTAGCAAATTATATAGGCAATCTTGTTTGACTTTAAAATAAATTATAGATTAATTATTGATAAAAAAAGACTGAAAACTCGAATTTATCATTTAATAAAATGGCGATGATAACTGAAATTTGTGAAAGAAAAAAAAAATGAATCATTGCTTGCCT